CTCTATTTTGCGATATAATAAAAGCATTTAACATTTCGCGACAATCCGTGCTAAACAATCGCAGCGTTAATCGCGGCGCTGGAAATTAAAGAACTTGGCGCGTCGTTTTACTCAAACCCGCTCACCGAGAGTGCTCGAAGTTGGAGGAAAAAGCGACCGGTAGCTGGGAAAAATTGCGACAAAGGGGATCCGTCCTCCACGAGGGTTGACCGCGCGTGAAAGTAGCCCTCGGGTCTCGCGATGTTCGACAAGACGGGGACGAGTTTGCTCGCGAAAGTGACTGCAGCGCATCGAACAAGCGCCGCTAATTGCTTTGTAGAGAGGGAGTAAGTTAATTGGCGCAGTTAGTTTCGTAAGGGTCGAAACTCAGAAGTGAATGGTACTCGCTGTACGATGTGGTGAAATATAGAACGCTCCGTATCTTTCACCGCGTCGCTTCTCGCCGGAAACTGGATTCTTTCATCAGCTTCGAGCCGAATGTTATCTTGCTTAGCAGTTTTGTCTTACGACATTCGGAAATGTTCACGTCTAAGCCTAAAATTTAAATTTAATATTTTAAAATTCAAACTGATAAAGAAATCCAAAGGCAAAAAGTCTCTGTGTATGAAACATTTTATATATATAATACACACGAAAAATATAAAATATAAAATTATTTCTTGCTCTATGCGAAAAGTATAATGTTCTTCCGATAACGAATTATTGTTTCGTGCTGCACCACCGGAATTCGTGATTTTTTAATGTAATATGAGATTCATTAAAAGAGACCGCTATTTACCTGTCTATGTTAAATGTTGTGTAAGTGTAATTAAATGTGTATGCATGATTTAATTAATTTTGAGGAATGACAGTGTTTTGCTCTGTGTAATTAAAAAATGGTTTTAGCGACACTAAAAAACAGCTATGACATTAGGCTGATGAATGTGTAATTAAAAAATGTGTTATAATATCCATATTTACATTTGTTTATGAAAACAACTTTCAACTTTAAAAATAAAGTTTTGAAATTTGTGGAATGTATTTGCATACTTCATAAAATGCTATTGTTAAAAGTCCAGGCGGAATTTCAATTTCTGACACGAAATCTTGCGCAGATAATCGATTGAGAGTGGCTGGTATATTGCTTTTCTCGGAGTTTTTTTTTTCCGACCATCTCCCGTATTTTATTCGACAATGGCCGTAACATGCCTAATATTTTTCAAAAGTTTACGATTTTACAAATATCTGCGATATTACGGAATTATAAAAGCAATTATTATTACGAATTTAATGTTCATGAGAGAACCAGAAATGGATCATACAGAAATGTTATATGATGATAAACAGTACATGAATAATACCTGAGTAATTTATTTGAAATAAGTTGCGAGCGCATATGTGCGCAAGATAAAATTTCAATGTTTTACTCATTGCAGGAAATCCGAAGTAATGTTTTATTTACTACTGAGCGCATAATTAAAAAATTTATTTCGAATTTACTAGCAGCGGAAAATGACATTATTTTACTAACACGATTGTTCAAAACTGTTTCAATTAAAATATATCCGTCTTTCTCCATTTAATGTATGAGAAACTGTAAACATTTCACCGGTGTGTGCACATAAGACAGCGGTGAAAATTAAAACCGCGACAACGTTTGAAATCGGCGCAGCCCTTTGTCCTTTGACCAGAAGTACTAAAACAACTTTCCAGCTTTGTAGCTTTTCTCGCTTTGTAAGGTCTCTTTGTTTGTTGGATATCTCTCACAAATTTGTAACAAGAGTATTTCATCTTAACTGATAGAAAAAAATGATGCTAAAAATATATATAGACCATTTTTAAAAATATATATAGACCATTTTTAACTGTACTATTTTCTGATTATAATTTTCGATTTTCTTTATTGATTAACGCGCGCTATTTTATGTTGTACACTTTACAACCGACTGATTTCAAATCAATTTGTCGGAGAAAGTTTAAATTTGAATTAATTTCCGCGTCGGCGCTTAATGAGTAATGAAGGGTATATCATTATTTCACAAAGACGTGGAATTTCCTTTTAATATAACATGTCACGTACGCGGGACGCGCGTTGATGGGCTTCAGGAGCGGACTTTTTTAATTATACTCATTAGTACAGCATAGCAACGTGGACGTCGGTTCGTCTAACTACCTTTATTTTCGCGAAATGACGGCGTACCATATATATATATTCAGAAGTACGAAAAGAACGCACCACTCTCGTCCGTTATAATCGCTTAATTATGGCAGCTAACTAGCTTGAAATTTTTCAAGCAGATTTGTTCGTCATTTTCGGATAAAAGAACTTTCGTCAAAGAAAAGAAACACGACGATGACGGTTTCATTGCAAGCGTCTGAAAGACTGAAATTTCTTTTCATATCTCCTCTCGCAAAGTTTTTCTCAAATTACCATCCTCGAATCTCGATCGTGTAAGAAAAGGTTCGGCAAACTGAAAACATGGTCGACTTCGAAATATCGAGGATTCTTGAATCTGAATTACTTTCCGCAAAAGAGTCATGCACTCATGAAAAAAAAAAATCGTGTTCCAACGGAACAGTATCGGAGATATCCCGGTATTATTATCGCGAAAGTCCAAAACTTTTCCCAGCTTTCCTTCTCCCGTACTTTCTCAACTGGTTCTTCCGCCATTTTATCTAACTTCGCGTCCCCGCGGGACAGCTGCAGCTGCGTGGTAGATAATAAACTCGAAACAATACAGCGACCACCGTTCGCACACAACACGAACATGCTTTCAGCTTTAAAGCGCGATACCGCTGAGTCGCCGTTACGCCGCGCGCGAGGAAAACTATTTCATAACTAGGTCGTACGTGTATGTGCTGCGCGCGCGTGTATGTGCGTGCGTATGTACCCGCGTGGACGGACTCGGTACCTGGTGCACGTATGCGGCCGTGGACCGTGGACGCGGAACGAAAGGAGAAAGGAGACAATCTGCCGGGCAAGAGGTCCGCTCCGCTCTCTCAGTCGCTCTTCTTTGTTTCCTCTGGAAAAGCTCGGCGAATTTTAGTTACATCGCAATGTAACTAACGGTCTCGTAAAACCGAGGCTTTGGTCGGCAAACGAGATGATTATCCAAGAAGAATAAACTTCACCGAGCCCGTAGCTCATTTGTTTCAACTCATACGTTCTCTCCGTCCCGGTCGCAATTGCGATGACAAACAAATTGCATTCGCAGCGTGTATTATTTTTCTTTTTTTAATACAAAAACACGATAGCAATTTAACACATCATTATAATGAGGTCGAATCAAATTTTCCGTTAACACACTTTCTTCAAACTTTCTTCTAACAAGCAATCAATAAGTAATGCACCTCTTAATTAACTCGTGAGATTACTCTGCTGTTGGTGTAATTATCCTCGGAGTCTACCTTTACGACTAGATTAATCCTCTCTCTCTCTCTCTCTCTCTCTCTCTCTCTCTCTCTTTCTCCCTTCTCCCTTTTACCCAGGATGTAGTCGAGACCTTTACTAACAATAAGTGCGCACTCTGATATTAACGTAAGAGCAAGTAATTTTCGCCACCGTAAACGCCTGTTAATGTACGTACTCGGAACGATTATATCCGTTAAGCGCCTTAGCTGTGCGCCAAGAACGACTGCTTATCTTCTACAATAACTAGAAATGGTTTGCTCATCTGTTTGTTGCTCAAATTCCATCTCACGTTGTAATGTGCATTAACGTCTTGCGTGTAACGGTCTTCTAGCCGTAAAGACCGCTGTAATGAAAGGGCCGTTGACATGCTTCGCGGGAGATGGTACATCCACACACAGCGCGAGTTCGGACGTATTTACTTTACGACCGGAGCTGAAGTTGATTCTTCCGCTTCGCGTCATTTACATGGGCGAACGAGCGAGAACGCAGAGGGACGCGCGCTCTTGTGTGTCTTGTCCGCGCGGAGAGACAATGAGGCCGTCGCATAAAAGCCGCGCGCAACAAACTCCGCAACTCGTCATAATGTAGCCGGTTGCGGCAGATGAAGGACGTTGATAAACGTAACAATTCGTTGAAAACCCTCTTTATGCGGCGAGCGCGGAACGGAAGTTTCATTTGATTCGCAACGGTCATTATCGCGTGCCGGCGCGCCGATTGAGCTGTACTACTTGCAAAAAGTAGTACAGCCCGATCTTTTTATTATTTGCGCAATAATAACGCTTTAAAACGCACGCGCGCGCGCCATTTATCACTGTCTCGTGGATAATGCCTCCTAACTAATGCTACCAAGTCCCGTGTTTTGACTGCATCACGACGCGCACTCGATAAAGTTTTCTTATAGCCTTGCAGTATGCCGGAGCAGAAGCGAAAATCGGAAGTGCAAGAACTTTTTGAATTTATGGCCGAAAGGCGATTGGAATCGAAGTAGATCGCATTCTCGGGACAGTCGACGGAAAAAAAAAGTAAGCGAAACAAGTTTTGCGTTTTGTGCTCGAACGTAACGATTGCAACAATAATTTCTATCGTATATTATTGCTAATTTCTTTTTATGTGTTTATCACTTTTATTTCGACAATTTAGCGTCCAATCTTACTTTAAGCTATCAAACATATGAAGCGCTGTTAAAGCCGTTTCATCTTTCGAAATATTATTTCTCATATCTTTCGAAATGATATCTCTCATCATCGTAAAAACACCGGCGAACGGTTGTTTTTACGATACGAGCAGTGGAAGCCACGCACTACCGGCTATATTTCGTACAATTCCTACAAAAGTTTCGTATCGTCGCTCGCTCCCCCGTTCCGCTCCCCGAGGAGAGCCCAGAACTTTTCTACAAAGCTTAACGCTCTCGATGGTAAATTTTTAAAAGAACATTTCTCAAAATGCGCGTAAGAATACGAAAAGTGCCGTTAATATTTGAAAATTAGAGTGTCAAAATTTTTACATTACACGCGTAAAGTTTGCGTCCTGCAAAATTCAATCGCCTTCGACGTATTTACTTATAACGTGAATAAATAAAAGGTAAGGAGACACATGGAAAGCACTCTACCTTCTTTCGCCTGTACGTATCCGTGCACTTCGCAGTAACTTCCTGCCGGACCAGCCGCTCCAGGAGTGTCCAGCGTAAACAAAGTGTTAGCGGACGAGCTGACGCCGTCGTCGGACATCGTCTGCAGCAGGCTCGTGGCCTGCGACAGCGTATGCTGGTGCTGGTGATGCTGATGATGATGATGATGGTGGTGCGGCTGCTGCTGCTGCTGCTGCTGCTGCTGCTGCTGCTGCAGCTGCGCCTGTTGCTGTTGTTGCTGCTGTGCGAGCATTTCCTCGTGCTGACACTTCGAGCAACGAAGCATCTTGGAGCGAACGCGCAGCAGCCAAACCATGCCGAAAAGCGCCATAGCAACCTCGAGACTCGCTGACCTCGATGGGTGCTTCATGCTCGCGGGGTCAAGGTCATCGAGGCTCCGGGAGCCAGCACGACACATATCACCGACTTCGGCGCGGATTTGTCTACCTCTCTCTGTCTTTCTATCCACACCTTCTTCCTCCTTTTTTTTTTTCCCCCTTTAACGCGCGCCTATTCTCATAAGATGGCAATCGTAACTAAGCAAGCACGGAAAAACACGTGCCGATATCCTGCTGAAATTGCGTCATCGATTTTCTCATTTATGATTTCTTTTTTTCGCCTACAATTTCGCGATGTACAAAATTGGCAGAAATTAGACTCTCATTGGCAGTGGATTATTCTCGGCCATCATCGAGAAATTCCGTCCGCTACTTTGAATCTGAATCCAAGCCTCTAATTTTGTAGCCCGTTGGATATTAATAATTATCGGGAGCTTCGCCGTTTCGCTCGAGAGGAACTTCCGTTCCCGTTGGCAGCTTCCGATGTTTACCGGTATCCTCTTCTTGACCCAGATTCGAGCTTCCTGTTATCGCGACGTCAACGTCAATGCGCCACGACGAAACAATTCCACTCAACGTTCGTACCGAAACGATTGGAAGGATCGAAGCAAAATGACCTCGATCACATCTCATCGGTTTTCCCGACAATTTCATCAGCGGGAATAAGGATCCTTATATCGCGAGTATCTCTCATCGGAAGCAGAGCGCGTCCCCGGCCCAATAATTCGCATTCCTCACGGACGATTCATCAGGATGAGCAAAGTTCTGCGATTACAGGCAAAGGAATGTCCGGCGAGACGCGCACAGTCAGAAATTACGAGATTCTTCCTTTCGTCTTGCCGTTCTTAGACGCACGAGAGCTCGACTTGTGGATGACCGAAAATTGAGCGAATGAGCAAGGCACCGTTCTTCCTGAAGATTGCTCGATGAGTGTCGGAGCGATGTTTCTCGCGCTGATGCGACGTGAGATAACGCGCTCGTGAGACTAGTGCGATTTTTTTATCTCTTTGTACGAAGGAACTATCTTTCGTTTCACTCAAAACTCTGCAAGATGTTCGAAATCAAATAAAGAGAGATCCGAAATCGTTGAAAGATACAAACGGTGAAAAGCCGATTCTTTTTGCTCAATTAATCTTTCCGCGAATTGGAGCGTCAAACAGTCGACGTCGAAACGCAGACGTCTCCCCGTCTACTTACGATTTACTTTACCCGCTCTTTGATAAGCGTTATCAATTAGACGGCCATTATCCGATCCGAGAAAGACAATAATCCGGCACAGAAGTTTCCTAATTTACAATCCGCTTTTTCTCGACGGCAAGAGAGAAAGTTGCTCGTGCAAATAGCAGAGCGAGAGTCAACCAAGGCACCAGTTCCTTCGAGTATCGATGACGAGGAGAACGTGGATGATCGATACAGCCTTAATACGGAAGAGAGCTAAACGATTGGTCCCGGGGACATTCCGACGACGACGACGAGGACGACGACGACGACGACGACGATACTTCTATAAAAGTAGAAAAGTCCCGAGTTATCGAGAGCGTAGATTCTTCCATATTTTCCCGGGAACTGTCCTCTGATCATTGCGCTCCCGTTTTCCGGCGACGCGCGCGGCTACGCCTTGCTTTCCCACGACTTTCAACGACCAAGTTCCGTTCCCGGATGACGTCGCCGACGACTTCTGCCGTCCCCCGTGTCTTCCGTCGCCAGACTCTCCTCGCTGGTCCATCGAGCTAC